ACCAACTAGGGCCTTATTACAAATTGATCAATTTTAGACCACGCCAGTGTGGGCGAGGAGAAATGGAATGTTGCAGTACGTTGGGGTTGGTACTCAAGAGAAACAGATGGTTGTCCCCGCAAGCTCGGAATAATTGACCCATTTATTGTTCATTGACCACCTTCTGCCCAAACAGCCGAAAGATCTGACTTTTGACGAAGTAGTGTCACAGCTGAAGGAAATTTTTGGTGTATCAGCATCCTTGTTTGTATTCGCTATCAATGCCTGATAAATATCAATCAGGAATCGGACGACTTTGGGGCCCTAGCAGACATGATTAATCGTGAGTGCGAACGTTTCAAACTATGCTCTTTAACGGACGATCAGTGTCTCATTTTCGTCAGCGCTCTACAATCCCTCAGTGATGCTGAGATCCGTGCGCCGCTTTTAGCTAAGCTGGAACAGGATCCTGATCTGACACTGGAAATCCTCGTAAGCGAATTCAAACGGCAACTCACTCTAAAACACGACACTGCCATGGTCGAACGAAATGGTCTTGCACCACCAGATACCGTGCAACTTGGGAAAAGGCCAAGACCGTCAACCGAAGCAAACCCTTCAAGAGGTCTACGAACAAACCGCCCACAGCATGCTGGTCATGCAGCGAATGGCATTTCGCGCGCTTTTGCCCTTTCAAACACCATATTTGCCAAACGTGCCATAAGCGTGGACATAAAGAGGAATGCTGCAGACAGGTTCGGTCGAAGAAAGTGAAGTCTTATCGTAAGGGGAATTCTAGAAAGGTTCCCGCCGAGTCTCTGTCCATAGTTGCCGCATTCCAAAGCGAGTGTAAACCGAGACGACGATTTATCAGTGTATTGATCAAGGGGATTCCAAGGAAACTGCAATTTGACATGGCTTTTGACATAACAATTATATCCAGGAGCACATGGAATCACATAAAGAGGTCGAAGATGGTCGAGTCACAGAAAGTTGCACATAATGCATCCGGTGGTGTGTTAAACTTAGTGGGTGAACTTACTTGCAAGATTGCTTTCAAAAATGTGGAAGAAACGGGAACGTGCTACATTTCAGACCGGCCGAATTTCAATCTTCTTGGTCTCGACTGGATTGAAAAGTTGCAACTCCTCGATCTTCCTTTGAATCAGCTCAGCAACCGAGTTCGAGCAAGTCCAGACCCATCATCCAAGTCTGTCGAAGACATGACACGTATCCTGAAGCGAAAATTTGCTTCTGTCTTTCAGGATGGCTTGGGCCATTGTACGAAATTCAAGGCAACGCTGAGCTTGCGACCAGGTGCTAAACCAGTGTTCAAGGTTAAAAGACCGGTATCATATGCAGCCATGTCAATCGTTGATCGAGAACTCGATCGACTGGAACGTGCCAGTCATAACAACCGTTAACTACTCATCATGGGCCGCACCTATTGTCGCAGTGAAGAAGCAAATGCCAAGGTACGCGTCTGCGCTGACTTCTCAACTGGCCTTAACACCGCGCTGGAAGACGACCAGTACCCAGTATCTGTACCGGAAGATACCTTTGTAAAACTGAATGGTGGCGAGTACTTTGCTAAGCTTGATCTATCCGATGGGTACCTAAAAGTGAATGTTGACGAAGTCGCGATGGATTTGTTGACGATCAACACTCATCTTGGCTTATTCCAATACAACCGTTTGACATTTAGTGTAAAACGGCGCTAAATATTTTCCAACAGTTGATGGTTACCATGCTAGCGGGCGTTCCTGGAACCGCTGCACATCTGGATGATATCATAGTGACGGGTTGAACGCCAGAAGAACTAGTTAATCGCCTGGATGAAGTGCTTGGTTGTACAGTCGTACGGTTTCCGGATCCGTGAAGATAAATGCACATTTTTCACGCCTATCATCAAATACCTCGGTTTTATCCTCGAAAAGGATGGACGTCGACCAAATCCGGAAAACATAGAAGCCATTAGAAAAATGCCTCCACCAACAGATCTACAGTCCTTGCGTTCCTTTTGTGGGCTCATCAGCCAATACAGCGCATTCTTGCCTGGGATGCACCGCCTGCATGCCCCTTTAAACAAGCCATTAGCCATTGGCTAAACTTGGAACTGGACATCAGAATGCCAGAATGCCTTCGAACGGGTCAAGTCACGGCTGTCCTCAAACTTCATTTTGACTCATTTTGATCCCTCCAAAGAGATTGTTTTAGCCACAGATTCGTCAAGCCATGGGATCGGTGCAGTAACTGCACACACGTACACCGATGGATTTCAGAAAGCAATCGTCCATGCCGCCAGAACACTGACGAAGGCCGAGAAGTATTACAGCCAGTTTGAGAAAGAAGCATTGGCCATAGTGTACGCGGTCAAGAAATTCCACAAAACGCTATACGGCCGCCGCTTCAAGCTTCTGACAGATCACAAGCCCTTGTTGGCTATCTTATGTTTGACAAACAACATCCCGGCCTACACAGCAAAAAGGGCTACAACGCTGGGCTCCTACCTTATTGGGGTATGTTTTCGAGATCCAATGCCAGTCGAAAATTTCCATTGGCAAGCGGATGCACCGTCACGACGAATTGATGCCCGCCAGCAAGAACATGAGGACACAATCATTACCTCGGTCGAGATTGAACCTGACGTCAATTTTCTGTTAACTGATGCATTGCACTATCTACCAGTTGCCGCAGAAGCTGTACGAACCGAAACACTTCGGGACTCAATACTCAAGAACATTACACAATTTCACAAAACAAGTTGGCCACATTCATGTCCATCTGCCGAGTTGCAACAGTACTTTCAGAGGAGACACTCGCTCTCTATTGTAAATGACTGCATACTATTTTCGGAAAGAGTGGTCCTCCCCAAGGCACTTCAGGAGCGCCTTATTCGGAAGTTTCACGCCGAACATCCTGGAATCAACCGGATTAAGGCGCTTGCCCGCAGTTATGTATACTGGCCCTTCATGGACAAACAGCTAGAGGAAATAGCTAAACGCTGCCAACAGTGTGCCAATGTTTGAAATGATTCGGAATACCTGTAGCTCGGGTTTTACGGGCTTCCTAAAGTACACAAAGAGGGTGCGCCTCTACGACCAATAGTATCACTCCCAGGTACACCAACTTTCAACTTGGCTAAAGAATTATGGAAGGGCCTCAAATATCTGACCAGCGGATGGCAATACTCCATCAATAATGCTCATCACTTTTTGGAAAAGCCCCAATGCATACGGATAGACCATGAGGAAGTGATGGTATCCTTTGACGTCACCGCACTTTTCACCTCCATCAACTTACAGATAGCGAAAGAAAATATCAAAGAACGTCTGAATAATGGAGCACAAACGACTGGGAAGCTAATAACGGAAAGCATATGCAAGCTCCTCGACTTTTGTCTTACTACTTACTTCAAATTTAACGGAGTGTTCTACGAGCAAGTTAGAGGAGCCCCAATGGGATCCCCCATATCTGGACTCATTGCAGAAGTCGTCATGCAGAGGTTGGAAGAGGATATACTCCCAGTCCTTAGTCCGAAATTATGGGTGCGATACGTTGACGATGCGTTTGTGATTCTCAAACGCAACCAGCTACAGACCGCACAAGACCTACTTAACAATGCAATGGAAGGCATTTGTTTCACCATGGAAGAGGAGGTGGAAAACCAACTACCCTTTTTGGACGTGCTGGTCACCAGAACGGTGGAAGGCGAATTACAGACATCCGTTTACAGAAAAGAAACACACACCGACCAAATCCTAAACTTTAACAGCAATCACCCTAAGTGTCACAAAATAAGCTGTATACGGACCCTGTTTTCTAGGATAGAACCGCATTGCAATACTGCAGAGGCAAAACGTAAGGAAGAAGAACATCTGTTTATGTCTTTCATTAGTAACGGCTACCCACGCAGTTTCATCCGAAGACACCTAAAGCGAAGGAGCACAACTACCACACCTGCACCAACGACGACGAAACACGTCGCCTTGCCGTACATCAAAAACGTATCGGAAAAGACAGCCAGACTCCTTAAACCGCACAACCTGACGATAGCTCACATACCAACTGCGACTTTGAAAAGAAAATTATCTAGACCTAAAGAAAGATTGGAGGCACAAGAACAACAAAATGTCATCTACAGGATAAAATGCGAGAACTGTGACAAAGACTATGTGGGTCAAACGGGGAGAAAACTATCCACAAGAATAAAAGAGCACAGGCTTGCGTGTCGATATCATCATATATCGTCACAGATCTCAGCGCACCTCGCTGAGGAAGGACACAATGTTAACTGGGACAAAACAGAAATTCTGGCGCACGGAGGGACAAGAAAAGGAAGGGAATTCCTCGAGGCATGGTTCTCTACGGAGAATTCCCTGAACCTCCGCACTGACCACGATCCCGTGTACCTACAGCTGAGAAAGCGTGAAACTGGACGGCCAAGTATCGAACAAACAGAGGTCACGCGACACAGATCGACGAGACTAATTTCAAACGCTACGTCCCAACGACACTTTCCGTGAGATTTTCCTCTACGGAGCTGTACACTGAAGATGCCACTGAGGGAAGTGGTGAAACGTTTGACATTAAATTATTCAGCTCGGGGAACGAATCAAAACGTTAAGTGTTCCAATGTCTTGAAAGCGCCACAAAAATCGGAACTATTCATGGCCAAAGGCTACTAAGCCGTGGTGCCGCCTTCATGTCGACTTTGCAGGACCGATCAACGGCAGAACTTCTCTCATTATAGTTGACTCATACAGCAAGTGGCCTGAAGTATTTCTCATGGGTAGCACAACCACCAATGCCACTGTATCGAAACTGCGCCAAACCTTTGGCAGATTCGGTTGTCCTGAGACACTTGTCACTGATAACGGCTCACAACATTAACGGAGTTTTGCAAGCAATGCGCCGTTCAGCAAGTTCGCTCGCCGACGTTTCACCCACAGTCGAATGGCCAGGCAGATAGGTTTGTCGATACGTTCAAGCGAGCTCTCCAAAAATCAAAAGGGGAGGGACGTATAGATGAGGGGGTTGACCGGTTCCTTTTATCTACTGATCACCACCGAATCCACCAGCGCCAGACGGAGTTGCTCCAACACAAGCCATGATGAACCGGAAGCTCCACATGCTTTTCGACATCATCCGACCACGCTCGGCATCCTTTGTTGGTGAAATAAACCGCAGAATGGAACAGGATTTTAATCCGCGGCATGAAACAGACAAGCGATCCTTTACACTTGGACAGAAGTTGCTACTACGTGACTATCGGAATGGCCATGCGAAATGGACGCGAGAGACGGTCGAAAGCAAACGCGGATACGTCATGTATGACGTGATGGTGGACGCACAGATCTGGGCACATTGTGCCAACCAGAACAAGCAAGACCTATTGACCTCTCGTTCGATTTACTGGTGGAAAGCTTCAACTTGCCAAAGATAGCAGTGGACGACTGCACACAATCGAGCAAGGAATCCAGAACACGGATATGGGAACAAATTTCTTAGACACTTCTGCCAAGGAGATGGACCGATAGGCAGAGAACACCGTACCGAAGACTGCAAGTTAATCCTAGGCTTTCGTCTTATACCTCGGATGATATTATAGAAGGGGAGGTGTTCGGGAGAAAGTAAGAATTGCCTTAGAAATCCATTATTTAGCGGTTAATCGATTGTTAACGATTATCGCATTGATTTCGAACGTTCCGGAATGTTCTAGTTCTGCACGTGAGCAGAAACCAATTGACACCTCGGCAACAGATATGGGGAACCACTAACCTTTGTGGCTGACATTCCAATTTTAGAAGCCGAAGGTCAGTAAGAGACTTATAAATAGGCCAAGGTCCGCAGTATTTGTACAGTGTTCGTTGTCGGCGCTTAATATGTTATTTTGTCAAGGTCATTGGCGTTCTGCTTTTTCCTTCGGTTGGGCTAGATGTCTTGTGGAGCAGTAGATTGTTAGTTTTGGAATTGCGTCTAGTGAGAATGTTATAACAATGACCTAGTCACAACGGGTTAGTTTGCGCATATGTGGCGATCACAAACTAGTTAGGTCTGTCATCGCGGTGCCTCTTAATTCTGCATGAACTCCGAAGCCGAAATACAAACAGTCAGCAACGTGCTATTTGTGACTAACCCACACTGATGGTCAACAATCTCGTGCGAGAAAGATAGACTGCATATCAAGTGAAACAGTAACTTTATGGTTTAATTTATGCCTTCCAAGTATTGAACTGCATCAGTGTTTGATACTAGTTGTTATTGCCATCTCAAGGTGGTGAATACGCTAAAACCTATGTGGTGGCCTTGAAGCCATCTTCACTTTGTCCTGGGTCTGGTTGAAACAGTTTATGTAAACCCGACAAAACGTCCTCACAAATCTGAGTTATGTGTGTGCGACTCACACTTATGTATACCTCTTTGTGCGGTGCTTATACCACACGAATCGATATACATAACCTGCAGTTATTACCGGCAGGAGAGTTCCTGGCTCACTAGTTTGTGGTGGCTAAATCCCAATGGATCGTGGACCCGCTGCTCTCAAGATTTTGCCGTGAAATTATGTCCTGGACTTCCTCTCATGGTGACCGCTATGTGGGAGTTCGGTTACACCATTTTTCTTGTTAAGAGCCAGAACGCATACCAATGCGTTTGAGTCGGTTCACTGACTCATGGCATACGACCAGCTGCCTTTCGGGTGTACATTACATCAAAATCATTGGTTGAGTCCCCGAACTGATCTCTTCATTTGTGGACATCCAGGAAATACGACGGTCTAAAATGAAACTCTGAATTTCAGCCATGCTGCTAACGTTATGCTGTCGTCGCGCATTGGTGGGGAAGCGAAAACGGTCGCCTTATATGCTGCATACAGCAGGGTGTATGAGCGAAAACATGCTATCGCTAACGCATCCTTCTTTCTTCTTGACATCAGAATTATTTGAGCCAGCTTCACACCTCACCTAACCCACTAGTTCCTCCAATCCACGTCAAGACCCGTGCGATTGCCCAGCGCAATCCTATGAATCCGCGTTAAACGCTTAACTTTGGATGATGTAGCATGCGCCCATTGGTCTACCGGAATACGAGTGAGCATCCCTAACAAGCGCATATGCTGCAGCACTATGTGCTCGACATCCATGGAGTACAGTCCATCTGCGCCTGTTGCTTTCGCACTTTCCGCTTCTTCTCCGCAAACATGTGAGCTTTCTCCTGCACCTAGGCAACTCCCTTCATGACCAGATCGCGCTATGCACACCGATTAACCGCCTTCGACTCCCAGCACTTGAAATCAACCTTAGAACTTGATAGGCTCGTCTTGTTCATGTCCTAATAACGTAACATTGGTTCTCCCGGGTGCCGCTTCCATGCATGTGGTAGGCCATACAGAAGCTGTTTCGGTGTACAGGTCGAATCCATATGGCGAATAAGCTCGAGCCACCTCAGGTGCCTCAGCAGAATTATGCAGCCCACTGCGTACATGCCACTGTGTCGGAGCACCCCGTGGCAGCAACTTGGTCATTGCTGCCGATGCGTATAACAGGGCGCATACACTAGTGATGGAGGCGCACCAGATATTGGACCTCCTTCCCAGGTCCGCAGGTTTCACTGCGTTATAGAAGAACGGACCGCATCATAGACTTATACCAGCAGCATGCTCCCAACAGTTAGCTGGTGGTGGTTCCACACACGACATTCCAGCTTGTCAAATGCAGCAGCCGCCTTCGATACGCGGCTGCGCATTTCGCTCGTCGTCTGCATGTCGGTTGCATCTACGCTACTAAGGTAAAACATTCTAGAAGTGTGTTCCATCACTTGGTCAACAATGTGGATTTCCGGGTCAAGGCTGGAAAATACCACCGTGTTTGTGTTGATGGTGAGCCGAAGTTGGTCTCTGTCAAAGTCAGAGCACTAGTCATGTGCTGCAACCCATTCGTGCTCTGCGCAACCAACACACAGCCGTCAGCAAACAACAACATACAGATAGTTGTCGCACAGACTAGGGGTCCTCGCACCGAAACGATGGATGTTCAGCAACCCACCATCAGTACGGTGCCCCACACGAACAACGTAAGCACAAGTAGTATCAAAACCACAAGACATCACTGTATGAAGAAAAATATTAACTAGAGCAGGAAATAAGATGCAGCCTTGCTACACACGAGAGACAACTGCATTGTCATCCTAGGTCTGTCCACTCAACCTCACCCTCGTCAGCATACCCCTGTGCAGCTTTGCAATTAAACTTACAAACTTACTCGGGCAACCAAACTTACCCAAAAAGAGTCACAATGACTCGGGGCTCACCGCATCCAATTCTTTGGTGAAATCAACAAACAACGAGTACAACGGCTGGTGTCGTTCGCTGCACTTCTCCTGAATGTGGCCAGCTGCAAAGGCCATATCGACGGTGCTGCGACCCGAAGGAAATCCACATTGTTCTCCCGACACGTTCGGCTCTACAACCTGACTGAAGAGGCGGTTAAGCAGGATTCGGCATGCACCTTAACTGCACAATTCAGCAAGTTGATACCACGATAATTCTTGGCAGATTGCTTGGTTCCCTTTGCCCTTGCACATTGGTAGCACACGGGCTTCCTTTAGCTCAGGAGGCACCTCCTCCTCCAACCACACGTGATGCTCCAACTGGTGCAGCACATGCACCAACGTGGGTCTTCTGTGTTTCAATAGTTCAGACGGGATCCGTTCGGCACCGAGACAATTGCCGGTTCGCAGCTGAACATGTGCTGTCTGCATCCTATCCACTGTCATCTTGTACGCCAGACGCATCTTCGTGCTGTTTTAGGCCATTCAACTAATTTAAGTTAATCTACGAACAGTTGTTCAAGAGATGATCAAAGTAATTACGCAGGACCTGCATTATGTCCGCAGTCTTTGTGCAGATAACGCCTGAACTATCAAAGATTATCGTTCTCAACGGTTCCAATCTCGGTCCAAACACCGCCTTCAAGAATTCAAAGAATTTCTTGCGTTGGTATTATCTAAGAAATGGTAAAAAGATAGAGGGAAACCATTATTTTGGCAATTAATAGATTAGCTTTGATCGTGCATTGATTTCGAAGATCCCGGAAACTTCCATTCCTCCACGTGATCGCCAGTGTACGTGCTTTTGGCAGGGATGCCGCTAATTTCAGCCTTTGGCCTTCGCTTTCTAGAAGCCAAAAATCAATGAGCCCCCTAGATATTTGGGGTAGATCTGGCGTAGTTTGTACTTCGTTTTGGCGGTTGTTTTGGTTACGTTCGGTAGAGATGTTAGCACATTGTTCGCGGTCAAGGTCGTCGGACTTTTGATTTTTCTTCAGCTGGGCTAGCATATTTGCAGACCAATTTTGGGTGATTAATTCTGAAAACGAGCAAACGTGAAGATCTAACGATGGCGACGGACAAGCACGAAAATCTTACAAACATTTCCGCCAAAGAATTTCAAAAGCTGTTCCTTCACCAACTGTCCCATATGGAAGCGCAAATGAAACTAATTGAAATTTTGACGCAGTGCATGAAGGTACAGTCAAACGGAACAGTTACACGGGACACAGGCTGTTTCACTTGATCTTACGAATTCAATCACTGAATTGCATCATGATGCTGATTCCGAATGCACTTTCGAGGCGTCGTTCAAACGCTGGAAGGACATGTTCCTGACGGATTTCATCCGTCAAGATGATTCAAGGATAGTGCATCTTTTGCTCCGCAAGCTAGGTACTAATGAACATACAAGATTCGTTGATTACATCCTGCCCAAAGAGCTGAAGGACATCACATTCAACAAAGCAGCGGCAACACTCAAAGAAATTTTTGGTGAATCGACGTCTTTGTTTAACATTTGCTACCAATGTGTAAAAAATTGTTAAGCGTGATATAGACGCTTATGGGACACTAGCAGACATGGTTAACCGTGAATTTGGATGTTTCAATTTATGCTGTTTAATGGATGACCAGTCTAAGTGCCCCATATTTGTCAGTGCTTCACAGTCCCCTTTTGACAAGGAAATCCGCACAGCTCCTTGCTAAGTTGGCTCCAGATGCAGATTTGACATTACCGTCCGTTGTAGGCGAATGCAAACGGTTGATTACTTTGGAAGAGGCCACCTCTATGATTGAGCAGATTCGCCCCATCATTGCCGATACTGTTCATGCTGTGCAAAAAGCCACAAAGGCTGGCTCAAACAAGCCGTTCAACAGAGCGCCGAACAAGCCGCTTACATCTTGTTGGTCATATGATAAATGGCCTTTCACACGATACTGTTTATTAATGCGTCACATTTATGATAAGTGCCATAAACGCGGCCACAAGGAGGACTTTTGTCATCAGTCCCGGCCAGTAAATAAATAAATAATAAATAAATAAACGTTTATTCCTCAGCCGTGCGAGGCACAGACCAATTGGATGGTCTTATCATGTACAACGTGGTCGCCTAATATAGTTAATTATTCGTCTTTTAATCAATGGTTCCCATATGGGTTTTTGAAATGATTAGCAGTTTGGAAGAAATAGAGAGATAAAGAAACTGGGAACAATAATAAATGTAGATTTTGCGGAAA